TCTAAATTATGCTAGAAGTTGGAATAGTTTTAAGAATCTGTTTTTAGTTGGCAGAAAGTTGCTATTAGATACAGTTGTACTGTTATTTGTGAAAACGGAACTCTGCAATGACTTCTCACTAATGCACTTTAAGTAATGCATTACATTTTTGACTGCTGAAGGAGTTCTTCCAAGTGAAATTCACTGCCAAAGAGATTGTTTATAGTGATGAGTCTTCTGATGTGAATATTGCACCTTAATGAGCCCAAATGGATAATGATGTGAATGAGCAGATCTGATTTGTGTGATCAAGAATGAAGTGGATGACCTATGACAGCAATTGATGAGCTTCATGGTTAAGGACAATTGGTAGCTTGATGGAAATTGCCAATAAGCTTGGCATTTCACAGGAACATGTGGGTTGCATTATTGATGTTTTTCAATATTAGAAAGTTTGTACAAGATGGGTTCATTGCATACTGACAGCAGGTATCAAAGTGTCAAGAATTGAAATTTGCTATAAATTGCCACCCTGCCACAAGGATGAAGTAGAGGAATTTTTGTGTGTGTGCAACATCATGGTTATAGCTTGGAGGTGATACCGATGCAGGATTATTGACATGGATTTCCTTAAGTGTAGCAGCCCTATCATTACAACACTAAAACATTTGAAACACAGTTAAGCAGAATTTGGAAGAGCAAGAAAGACATTTTGCTGCAACATCATAACATTGTGCCTCATACCTCATGACTCACCCAAGAGATGCTTGTGCTATCCCATGTACCATAGAAACCAAACATGCCAGGGAACTTCCATCTTTTGCCACAATTTAAGGTGCATCTTTGTGGACATCTGCTTGACTCATGAAAAGATGAAAAAGACTCTATGTAAGAAACTGGTGAAGAAACCAAGTGTGGTGTTCTTTCTTGATGGCTCTTAGAAGCTTGTCTATCACTGGGAGCAGTGAATAGTGAATGATGTTGATAATGTAAAGAAATAAATGCAGGGAACAAAAGTGCTAATTTCAAGGATTATTTTCCTGTTTCATTTATTAAAATATCTCTATTTAAACTAAAACAATGGTGAATGCATTAAGTTTCATTCAAACTTTGTATTTCAATTTGGGAAAATTACTTCCTAATATAACATCATCCAGCAGAACATAACATTTCAGTTGTGTAATTTATTAAAACAATATTAATCATATAATAATCTCATGTGTTGCGTATATCCTCAGAAATTGTACTCAGAAATGCAGATAGTGATGACTCTGTTAAATAAAAATACTGTATGTGTGATGAATATTTAATTTACTTTGCTTCTGGAACCTTTAACATTAATTTATTGCTAAAACAGAATCTTAAGCATGGAAGCAAAGTCTTCAGACACATAAAATGTGGTGCAACTACATACTGTTTACAAATAGGTCTAAAGTTTGGTTATTTTTTGAATACTGTGTTCATACAAGGTAAGGCACAGATGTATGCACTTACTTATGATGCTAAAGGCAGAATAATGATTTTAAAACATTTCTCATTATTTGGTACTCTGGTTTTTTTTTAAAACAAAACCAAAAAACTCTAGGAAATTATATTGAAGACATGAAATGTAAGGGAGTAATCAGTGCAAACATTGTGCCAAAACCAGCCCACCCTTATCTTCATTTTGGCCTTGTACAGATTTGTCTTCCAATCACAGCAATAGAACTTTTATGAAGAAGGTAGAAGGGGTTATAATTCTGGCTTGCTTATCTTTAGGCTTAGAGAAAACTATCTTCCATCTAAAATTCCCTCCTGATTTTCAGGAAGAGCTTAAGGGTCACACAGTATGGACTTTGTAATACTTACAATATGGTTTTTGTAGTACTGTTGCACTAGCTAACTAACATGGGTTTTCTTGTATTTCCATGTCCCACGTTGTTGCTTTCTGTGGTTGCATAAAAGGTGCTTATGTATAACAACTTTAAAAAAAACAGTGAATTTGATTGTACATATTTTTGTAATTGTTCCCTGTCTCTTTATATTAATTTCCCCCCTTTTTTCAAATTTTCTAGGGAAGCCTTTCTTTGGATCATCAGTTAAAGCTCCCCCTTTTTAAAATTTCATTTTACAGAGGGTTACTCACACCTACCAAATGTTTTGTGTTCCAATATGAAAGAAAAGGCAAGGAGGGATGGGAGAAGAGTTGAACTCAGAAAGAACATTAAAATATTGGTCACACCAATTTCCTTATTCAAGTCTGCCTAATTACCATTTTCCTGGGTCCTCAGCTTGCAAGTATCTATGGGGAACATAAGTGAATCAAATAAAAGGAGGGATTGTAGCCACACTTACAGTTTCATATCTAAAGGAGGGAGAAATGGAGGAGAGGATTCTTTGAGAATAAATATTTTGCATTAGTACAATAAATCTACTTGGAAAACATGCTAAAGAATTTGAAAGCTAATGTCCTTGAACAATGACATGTATTTTGGAAAATAAACTTTTCTAAAGTTGCTATGGATAAAGGTTGGTCTTCTGCCACTTGAATATTGAATTCCTCTTTTCTTTGTGCATTGGGAACATCTTTGGATGCTTTCCACTGTGAGGAATTTCCTCCTCCTCCTTATGCTCTCAACTCTCAGGATTGTGGCTGAAAACTTCTAAATGTCCCAGTGCGTGGTCATTTTTATTATATATTTCTATATGCTACTGGTATGTATTTCCAAACAAAACAAAATAAAGTACATTTTGGTCTTTCATCTTAAACCATCTTTGCTGGCTTAAAAAAGTAAGGTAAACTTCACTGTATTAAGATTTGGTTTATATTCTATAGTGCTTGAGTCATTTTTAATGTTTAAAGGAAAAAAAATCATGTATCTTTCCAACAATTACAGCAACAACAACAACTTGTTACAATCTCGCCACAGTTGAAGTCATAGGCATAAGGATTCCATAGTGCCTTTTAGAGTAAATCTTTTCTCCCAGATCCATATTGAAACAGGCTGAATGTGCAAGTTTAGTTTCTGTTGCAGGAGGTCAACGATCTGAGAAATTACTCAGAATTTAGCTTTAAGGGGAACTAATCTTTGGCTTCTGGTGAATATAATTTCCCAAATGGACTAGGTTTTATGACAAAATGTCTGAAAGTCTATGCACAAAGTGCCTCCTAATGTTTTAATGAATGCTTGACACAAAGCCATTAGAGACTTGTAGTTGAATTCTGTTTCCTTAGTAATAAACTTTACTACCTGTAAAATATTGTCTAAAATGCATGCCTTTTCTTCTCTACACTAAAGAGATTTCCTTTTTCCTTTTTAATAAGTGGTTTCCCCGAAGGACACCAAAGGCCTCCAAAAATCGTTTTCTTATTAATCATGCCAAATTAACTTGCAGTACAATCCTAGGTATATTTATTTAGAGGTAACTCCTGTTAGATCAATAGGATTTACTGAAATGAATGCTTGATGCAATTATTAAATTATCAATATATGTCTAGTAATTCTCATACTTTCTAAACTGGGAATGGAGGCATATTTATCTTAGCTGGGCTTTGGTGCACTAACTTAATATAGCACCATTAGCCTTAATAGAACTTTTTCTAACTGCCTGTGCTCTTCCTTTTATCTGGTGGTCTTGGCAGGATAAGTATTCCAGATTTAAAAAAATTCAGCAACTGTAATAATATATTAATATTATTGTAGTAATATTGGCTTAGGACTGGAGTTCTATATTGAATCTAATTCTGTATATCCCATTCTTCTTTCTCTTTTATGGTAGGTTTTACCCACCAAACAAATGCTGTCTTTTTCTTTCTCTAGAGGGCAACTATGTAATACCAGACCTATTTCCAATTGTAACAGATTCAATTCAAAGAAAGTAATTGATGGATGGGCAGGCATGTTATATATTCTTTTCAGAATATATAATACAGACCAGTGCTTTAAAATCATAAACTGCCTAGTGTGGACTGTCTAGTCATGTTGCAAATACCCATATTTAAAACAAGCTTCTTGGTAGCTACAAAATAAAAGTGAAACAAAAAAGAATGCATGAAACTGGAATGCCTTGGAAAAATCTGCTTCTAGTATACAAGCATGCTTTGCAGACAAAAACTAGGGTTTTAAGATTGTAATGCTGAGATGGGCATAGCTAGGCGAATCTCTCAATCAGGTGAAGAGTTGCCTCAGATTCTACCTCTCTTTTTTTGTACTGTTGATGGGAAATAGGTTATGGATTCCTTCACTCCTAACCCCACTTTTCTAAGTTACATTTGGTCCAGTTACAATCCCATCGTGTGTGGGGGGACTTCATTGTTAAGAGTAAAGGACAAAAAAATAAAATAAAACTACAACATTCTACTGTCTTCCACTAGGGGCATTTTTTTTCTCTAGAAATAAGATGCAGGAACTGATTCCAACTTATGTTGATTCCAACTCATTTTCTATGAGATGCATTAGTGGAAATTAATTACCATTTTATGTCTTGAACGTTTGTTCTGTAACAGTGGCTGTAGCAATTACCATATTTTTCAGAGTATAAGACGCACTAAGGTTTTGAAGAGGCAAATTTNAGTCAGTTCTGGATAATATGTTATTTATTTTTATACTGACACAATTACACAAAGATACTGTTGATGTAACTTTGTTATGGGACGCGGTGGCTCAGTGGCTAAGATGCTGAGCTTGTCAATCAGAAAGGTTGGCAGTTCAGTGGTTCAAATCCCTAGCTCCGTGTAACAGAGTGAGCTCCTGTTACTTGTCCCAGCTTCTGCCAACCTAGCAGTCCAGAAGCATGTAAAAATGCAAGTAGAAAAATAGGAACCACTTTTGGTGGAAGGTAACAGCGCTGTGTGCTTTCAGCATTTAGTCCTGCCAGCCACATGACCACAGAGACGTATTTGGACAGTGCTGGCTCTTCGGCTTTGAAATGGAGATGGATACCGCCCCCGAGAGTCGAGAACGATTAGCACATATGTGCAAGGGGAATTTTTAGCTTTACTGTTGATGTTATATCCAAAGAGGGGAAAAAAATCTACTTACTAGATCAACCTTGGAATATTCTTCTACAATCTTCATATGCTCTTCTGGGTTATAACCATTCCAACGGTCTCTTTTCCCATCATAGTCAAACATCAATTGAGGCTGCATATGCTCATCTGCCGCAATGTTAGTTCCTGTAAATTTTGCTCCAACTTTTCTTGGTCTCTGCAAGGAACAATTTGCAATGAAATCTTTGCTTCTCAGAAAGAAAACTACATAAAATTATTCCTTTTTCTTAGCAGACATTAGGGAAGCCTAGTCCCTCCATCTTCATATAGCAGTGATGTTTTTTCCCCCCTATCTTTTCCTTCCTGCAGACTCTTCCCTGGTGGTATTGTTTTTTTCCAGGTGTAATGCAGCTACTATATTTATGTGACTGAACTACAGCTCCACTGTTAACACTGAAACCAAGAACCATGAGGGACAAATGAATATAACTCCTTACAAAAAAAAGTAATTGCTTCGATTTCTTTTAAATGAAAACACTACTACTAAAATGTTGTAAATAAAGAAATAAACAGAAGCTTCAAAGACCTAAAATTGGGAATGATAAACTAAAATCCTATTGGTCCATCCATTGTGGCCGGGAACCACCATATCCCATGGTAACCTGACTGCAATAACTGTGTAGGAATATGCCTTATTCTCTGTTATGGGGTGGAAACTTGGAATTTTCTGACATCAAAAATTTTCCCGGTTTTTTAAATGAAAAATACGGGAAAACCAGTTTAACAATAGCAAATAGCCCTGATTTGGCTATATTTAACAACATACTTGATTCTCTTGCTACTTTTACTGAATTCAGTTACCTTTTGGAAAAATGGTTCCTGTTTGTCATCTGATTAACCTCTTCCTCATACAGGCAGTCCTTTCTTAAGAACCATTTGTTCAGCAACCATTCAAAATTACAGCAGCATTGCACAAATGGGATTTATGCCCAGCCTATAAAGTTATACCTGCTATAAGTGCCTCCACAGTCATGTGATCAGAATTTAGGCATTTGGCAGTCCACTTACAACTACAGGGATATTACAAGTCTATCCACTTGCCCATCTCCCCAATAACCTTGCCCTTTCCGCTACCTTGTGCAGCGGCATTCCTCAGCAGCAGTGCTGGGGCTGAAGTAGAGACCTGGAGCCTTTAGCAGTTATTAGTTGACTGCTGCCTCCAAGCCTCTACTTCAGGCCTGGTGCTGCTTCTTCTGCAAAGCCCCTGCCACTCCCATGTGACCTTCACCCTTTTCCTTCAACTGCTGATGAGGCACACCTTAGGTAGAGGCAGCTCAGGTTTCAAAAGGCAAGCTTGAGCTGCCTCTGCCAGTATGGAGTACATACAATGAAGAGTTAAGAAGAAGTGATGCAGAGGGAAGGGGAAGGCCTCATTTGCTGAGAATTACAGCAACAGTTTCAAAATGCATGTGCTGAGAATGGAAAAAGGAAAAAAAATTCCACTAGAATTCTCCCACATGGCCCAGCAAGAGAGGCCTTCTCTCTTTCCTTTCCCCCACCTGAGCTCTATAAATCTTCACAAGGTAAGCAAGCATTGTGAGAGCTGGAGGAAGACCATGTAAAATCCCCTAATGCCTTTGGGAACCTGGCAAGGCAGGACTGGGGATAGATAGGGCACGTTGCATCTTTGTCATTGGTCGGAAGGGCAAATGACCACGTGAGTTTTGTAGAATTCGTAACTTTGAAACGAGATTGTAAATATTTTTTGGGCAGGAAGGGGGGGGGTCTGTTGCAATGGTCATTAAATGAACTGTGGTACCTTGAGGATTACCTGTATATATAATTAAATATACTCTAAAAACATACTTTCATTTGGAAAAAAAAAAGCAAGACAGCAAAAGAAGAAGAAACTTATTATGGAGTATTTCACATCTGTTCTTATGTTCCATGCACATCTTTGACTTCCACAGAATTCTATTAGATGCTATTTTTTAAAATTCACACAAACTACAAAATTTTACCTGAGACATAGGCTCATACTGTGCTTTTATGGAAAGTTATTTACCTCTAAGCAATCTTTCTTCTTATGGGTCAATGAACCACAGTTTTCACAAGCACCTTTGCGATATTTAGTTGCAACAGCATTCTAAAGACAAAAAGAAATAAGTCATTTGTAGCAATAGAGAGCATTTAGTTTGTCCTCTCCTATATGAGAATATAGAATATGGCAGGTTCATTCTAATTTTACAAAGACATTATCTAACTATGTAAGTTACTCTGAAATTCTTATTGCAGGGAATTTTTAGCCAGACATAGCTAACAAACTATGCTGCTTCATATTTGAATATAAATTCACCATCACTGAATTTGAACATGTCATAATAAAAAGTCCAACAAATTTGCTAACATTTATAAATAGTGTTGCACAATAGTATCACTTTTACATATAGATACCTACCTCTTTAACTCCTCGCTTATACCATTCTGATAGTGATGTAAATTCTTCTTGCTTCTCTGGTTGAGGTCTCTGATGTTTCAGTGTAGGCCTTTTTGAAGGATCTATATACCATGGTACTGAGGAAATATACTGGGGAATATGAGGATTGATGTCTCTGTAATAAGTAGTATTACAATTAGCTGAGAATTTAGCTCGTCATTAAGTAGGAATAACTGAACAATATTTTTTTAAAATTCAGGAACCATTTCCATCTTACCATATTTTTAAGACCTTCACTGGAACTTTATTTCAACAAATTTTGTTGTATTTATTTTGTACAATGACAATAAAGACTATACTATACTATTTATTTGTATGATATGAGGGATGGAGCAAGATTTTCACAGATGTTCATGTGGCTCAACAATACACCTCATCCATAATAAAAAAATTTGACAAACATTATCACAAGATTTCTGTACATGGATTCTGTCTCTGATTGGCTTTCCTGTTCTTTGTCTCCCAGTGAAGGGCAAAGAAACCAAGAGAGCATTCTGGCCAAGATTAAGATCCTCTATGTCAACACCAATGCTGTCTTATTATTAGGTTAGGACTAAGACTCTCCCACTTAAATCAATGGGTCTTGGTCCTAACCTAATAGAATCAGAAGTGTCTACAATACTCCTGAGTTCCAAGTTTTTTAAAATTCTGAACTAGAGAATGTATTGTAATCTCTTTTGATTCTAGCCACGTCAGATTTGATATTCCAAATTTAAGTACTTCCAATTGCCTGCCCTAGACTATAAAAGGTTAGGAAAATGTAGAATAGATCAAAGACTGAAATAAATTAACTTAGTTCATTTCATAATTGAGATCAATATCTAATAATCTTTCAGAAGAAGTTCCACACTTAGTTTTGTTATAATATGCTAAAAAAACTAAAGAAAGTTGTATTGGGATTACAAACAATACTTACTTTCCTTCTTCATCAACTTCAGCTGGTGCATTTCCCAGTTTTCGTTGTTCTTCCAATTCCTTCTTCTTTCTCCAATCTTCTCTCGTCATCTTCTTGGGTTCTTCCAAGCCATTTGATCCCCCAGGGGGATTAGTAGCTATAGTTTCCATGCTCCCAGATTCCATACTTTGGCCTATTAACAAATACATGTTTGTATTTGTTAATAGGTTTTCAAACTGTTTTAATAAATGCTAAAAAGGTCCTGACCATTTTTGATTAATTTAGCCTGAAAAGCAAATTCTCTCCCAAGGGTATCAAGATGTGGATGAATGTGGAAGATCAATTTTTTTCTGACAGCAATCCATTGATCAAGTATCGGGCCTTCATGCTATTTTTTAGTTGTGAGAGCTAGTGAATCACTCAAATGCTTCTGGAGTTTTCTTATTGTAATTTTATACCAATTTTATGAGTTCAGTCAAGACTTTTAATTTATATTTTATTGCCATTTTTATTATTTAAAAATATCTTGCATTTTTTTCCTTTTGTAGATATTACGAACTTTTTTTTTACAGACTAGTGTTTGTTTTATAACTGCCACAAAACAAGACACAAAATTGGGTATGGGCATGTTGTGACCTGCTTTATGACCATCACAACTTCCATCCAAAATTGTGGGCTCAATTGCATGTCAAACATTACCTGTGCGCTGATTATACCCAATCATACCTCTCTACCCATGCTAGGTAGGTTATACTGTTCAGGAGTTGGGTCAGCCTTGGGATGCTCTATGGACATGTTTGGGAAAAAATTGGCTGTGAGTTAACTCTACCAAGCCATAATGTTTGTGGCTGTTGTTTGGACAAGGTAACTCCCCCTTCCAGACAGAACTGTTGTGCAATTTGGAGATCATTCACTGCAACTGGTCAAGAATGGGTGCCCTGTGCCCCCCCCTTTATAGTGTGACTGTTGCAGTGTGAACTGGACTGGCTTCCAGTTGCTTTATAGGTGCTGCTTATCATCTTTAAAGAAATACATGGCACAGGATGAGGTTACTTATGGGACTGCCTCTCTTTGAGGGTATCTACCATCCCATTACCTGACCTGGGTGAGTTCCTGTTCCCTTCCTTTAAAGGCTGTCATCTGTTGGGGCTTTGGAGACATACCTTCTCTACAGTTGATCCTGATCATTGGAAGGGTTTTAGCCTCCCAGAAGACCCCCTGGCTCTTACCCCAAATACTGGGCTTGGATGGGGGTTGAGTCAGAAAACTAATGGTGCGGTTGGTCTGGCATCTGATGGGAAGGATAGTTCTGTTTCTACTCTGTTTTTTGTTGGTTGTTGTGAATAGTCTAGAATCAGTATGCTAGACAGATAGCCATATGAATTCTAAAATACATTCGCACATAAAGTATCATCGAAAGCATTCCCAGCCACCTTCCTTTCCCGAAAGTCCAATTAGTTAATATGCTGCTTTTCTAAATTGGGACAGACGCGCCCTAGTCGGCTCGAAGTGTTTAGGGCTCTAACTTCCATCAGCCCCAGTCGACCTAACACCAGGACTATGAAACCTATAATCCGAACTCCCGGCCAGCTTTAGTTGCCTTGACATTATATAGCAGCGGCAGAAGAGGCGTAACTGGAATTCGTTCCCGTTTTATGAAACTTAAAAAGGAGAGTTCTGAACTTCCCGTGTCCCATTAACCAAGAGACCCGGAATTTAACTACCTACGAAGCAACTTAAACCGGATTAAGTTCCAGACACCGGTTGCAGGTTTCACCCGGGAAAAAGCCAATCAGTCCCAATAAGTGTCATCGACCCAAAGGAGAACACTCGCCACTCACCCCCAAGTCGCAGATCAACCTTCCTGCGTCACAGGGCCTATGACGCTCATTAATCCTCTCACTTCCGGTGTCTTTCCGCTTCCCACAATTCAGCGCGGTCACCTTCTCGCTGCTCCTTAAAGGGGCCGCACTCTTATTTTATTATAAAAATGCTCGGCTTTCTCCCAACGACGTTCCATTCCCTGGTTTTGGCTTTCAGTACCTCTTTGGAGGACATAAGCTTAAAGCTCTTCAGAGTCGGTACTTCAAATGTCGGCGGAGTTTATTCCTAAACACATTTGTTACATTTATAAAGCCCCGAGGATCTGAAAGTCAAGACTTGGTGGAAATGCATACGAGCCGCTACTAGAATCTTAACGTTGCTGCGATAGGATCTATTATTTATTATGGTATAAGTTTCTGTGGATCTTTGCCTTGCTTAAAAAAACGAAAAATCTGACAAGGTGAAAAGTGTGAGTTACAAAGGTTTTTATGTCTTCATGGAGAAACTCTAGCTATTAATCTCTAGACAAGATGACTTGATGGCACACAATCATAACATAGGACTAATGCAACCAATCATTAATATGCGACTATAGGGGAAGCATATCGTTATCTTGGCAACGATTTAGGAGTGAGTTGTATTGCCTTCTTCCGGGACTTTCTCGACCAGTGTAGCCGACGGTCGTGNCCCCAGCCCCCAAGATCTCTCTGAAAGCCTCCATAAGGCTATGCATGGGCATTTTTGCTTCAGGAGGCAAAAAAAGGAGGTATAAGATGCACCCAGTTTTTCAGCCTCTTTTTTGAGGAAAAAAGGTGCGTCTTATACTCCAAAAAATACGGTATTTGTCCCCAAGAAAGAGAAAGAAAATATAATATATAAATGCAACTACTTGGTTTTGGCAGTGGTATCACCATAGCCCTGGATACAGGAACAGAGAGAATCTATTCTGAAGAAAATGGAAGGGAACATCAGAGAACGCAATCTTTTTCTTTTTCTTGTATGAGACAATTACAACACTGCTGTATTCAAGGCTGGCTGTCCCATTCCCTTTACTCGAATGTAAGGAGGGGGGAAGGTACAGAAGACCACTGAGGAGTATGTAGAAGTGAAAGTAATAGAATGTAGAATTATTGATTTTTGTTGTATTTAGGAATGTGAAGAAATTCACTCAAGTAAAGCAAAAATATGATCATTTTAATGAAGGTACATAGTGTATTTGCATATATTAGGAAGCTGAGGTTCAAGCCAGCTTATGCTCCTCTAGCAAAATAAACAATTTACATACCATGCACATTCATCTAGGAGAAGAAACTTTGGCTAAGCAGTTAAAATCCACAGTCGTTTCCATAAAGAAACAGAGGAAACTATCTGATATTATGAAACAAAGCTATTTTTTGAAGATTGAAATAATCACAACTTAATTTTTCTAGAACAATGAAAAGATTAACCTGTTCTGGTGCACAACTATCTTGGCTTCCAGAATCATGAACTATGAACTGGGAACTTTTCCAATTCTTTCTTCAGTTCAGTGTTGGTATCCACTGAACCATTCCTGACAAGTGGCCAGCTCCATTTGAAAGCCTCAGGTAAGAAAGAATTCATCACTATTGTAGGCTGACTCTTGGGCTCTTTAACCAGCACGACTGGCTGGAAATTCTAAGAATTGACCTGAATGCCCTTCTTTAAAAATATTTTGGTCTGTGTTTTGCTATCAGTTTTTGTAGGAAATAGTCAACATTTCACTTACACATGACAACTTTTTAGATATTTATAAGTATTTGTTTTTCAGGGTAAATATGCCAGGTCCTTTAACTGTTCCTTATTTTTTTAAAGGAATCTTTAAATGGAACTATTACCTTCTGAATTCTGAATTCACTTCTATTCATAAAACATTCATTTTATATAGGCCTTTATAGCTGCTTCCTCATGTTCAGCCAGAGGGACATTAGGATTTTTAGATTTTTCCCATATGTTGTAGTATCATGACTGAGCTTGTAAAGTAAAAATGCTGTAGATTTCAAACTTCCTTTCTTAGAATTTCTGTACATACTAATTTCCTGCTGCCAGTTCTCTTCTAGGGAGTATTTCACCTATTGTTTCTCTTCTAACTTGGGGGTGGGGGTAGAGGTGGAATTCTTACAACTATGTTGGTTTCTGGTAAATCAAAAGAAAAAAAAAACAAATAAATTCTGTAGCATTACTTTACAA